TAGTGTCATGGAGTTGCAATTCAAACAAAACGTTTCTGCACCAATAATATTGAGTTTGAGAAAGTGCAGCTCAGATGTTATTCCAATATGACAGACAGGGACAAATGAAACTACAGTATAATGTAAGTATAGATTTTGAGTCACGAACTTTACAAACTTTTCTTATAATACAAAGAGATTTATCAGCAGTGTCAGTGTTATTATTTTGTACCGTTACTTTTACTCGAGTAGAATGTTTTCCTCTCTGCCCTCGTCTTTGTTTGTCTCATGCTCAGCTGAGTCGCAGAACTGATGTGACTTCCTTCTGAAACGATGCCAGAAAAGTAGTGATTACACTCCTCTCTATCTTTCCCTCTCTCCCCACTTAACCTTCAACTCTGTCTCTCCCCGTCTGTCTCCCCCTCCGTCTTCCAACTCCCTCGCTCCCTTCTCTCTGCCCCCTTTCCTCTCTTTACTCCCTCAATCATTCTCCCTCTCTCCATTCCCTGATTTCTCCACTTTGTCTTCTCTTCTGTCTTTCTCCCACCTCTTCCTCTTCACTCCTCTCTCCCTGTCTGTATCCCTCTCTCAGTGTTTCTCTTCTCATCTCTCATCCTGCCTCTTTCTATCCTCTGCTTCTCTTTCTCGCTCATCCATTCTCTCACACCGTCTCTCTCCTTCTCTCCTCTTTTTCTTTTCTTTCTCCCTTCCTCTCACCCAGTCCTTCTGCTCTCCATCTCTCTATCTCTCCCTCCCTGCCCTCCTGTCTACCCTCCTCTTTTTCTATCTTCTTCTCTCTCCCTTCTGCTTTCTCTACTCTGTCCCTCCTCTCTCTTCTAGCCTTTCACTCTCTTTCTCTCCTCTCTCTCTTTTTATTTTTTCTCCATTTCTCTCCTCCTCTTTCTCCACTGTCTTTCTTCCTTCATCATTCTCTCCTCTCTCTCTTTCTCTTTTCTCTTTCCCCTCCTCATCCCTTCATCTTTCTAAATGCACCTGGTACACTCTAAAAAACTGTCAGAGGAACTGCGCTCTTAAACAGACAGCTGAACAACACAAACACACACACACAACACACACATAACACACGCACATGTGCGCACATACACACTGCCCGAATTATAACTGCACTGTGCGCTTTTACGACCTTCACAACCTTCACAACATGGGAACACATCTGGAGTTACGTCACAAACCAGGAGGACGTTTGGAGACATGCGATTATGACTTCCCAGACCTAGTTTTCTTCATCTCCGTGTCATTGTAGTGTTCATCAAAAATTCCAACCACGCTTCAGTTTTCATCATTTCTCCACTGACACACAACTCCGAGTGCACTGGGGACATGTGATTAGAAGAGATGAGGCCAAATTCCAGATGATTCCAAACAGCACATCCGTCTGCAGTCTTCATTTTACCAATGAACACTTTTACTTTTTACAGTGGGTTTGATCACAGTCGGTCGGTGAGTCCAGTGTCGGGAACTACACCGGAAGTCGTCATCGCATCTTTCCAAAGATCTTCCTGGTTTGTGACATAAGCGTGAATAGAGCCTCTTGAAGAAGACCTAATCTGTAAACCAACTTTTCAAAGCTTTAACCATGTTATAGTTGTTTCCTCTCACTGTTTACTCACCTGAAGTTGTGTTTGATTGATTGATTGATTACATTTATATAGAGCCTTTCAAGATTCCCAAAGCACTTTACAGTTCATTATTCAGTCACTCCACACTCAGTGGTGATAAGCTACTATGGTAGCCACAGCTGCCCTGGAGCAGACCGACGGAAGCGAGGCTGCCAATCTGCGCCATCGGTCCTCCGACCACCACCATCACTCACGCTCACACCACTTTCATACTAGGCAAAGGGTGAAGTGTCTTGCCTAAGGACACAACAACAGTTTTTGCCACTGGCACCCCACTTTGGAGTGACTTGTGGATGTTTCTTTTATTTGGAAATATGTTAGGATCATAAATGTTTAACATTCATAACATGTCCATGTGCTGTGCAGGATGTTCATGCACCGTCTGGGCTGGTATCATTAAGAAGTTGTCGATACGATACATACCTCCATACATAGGCCAGGATATGATACATCTCGATACAGTGAGCTTTTGATTCGATATGATTTATTTCAAATCGATTCAATATGGTTCTATAAAAAATACGTCTTTGTTAAGCCACTTCTTGTGTGAAGTTCACATGAAACACACATTTTAATCATCAAAACAGTGAAAATGTCAAATGTGCCGCATAAACGAGTTTCCTTCCTCTGAACAAACAACAAAACTGTAGCTGTAACAAAATCATGTAACAAAATATACTAACAAATACTCTTGGCGTTATACAGTATATTGATACAGCAGCCCATATTATCGATACTGTATCATCGTAAATAATACGATATATCAATAGTTTGATATTTTTGCACACCCCTAGTCCGGATGCCCTCCCGCAGCAGAGCACAGCCCTTCGGCCGCTCTCTGTATCGCTTCAGCTCTGCTCTGTAGTTTGGTTGGATCTGGATCTGTACAAAAGCTGCACATTCACATGAGGCCGTTTATCGCGATGTCCTAAAGTCTGTTTTTTTACTCTGTCTGCTGTTCACATGCTGCGATGTCAGATTTCCTCACATCCTCGTGTCCTTTCTGTCATCAGCTCCATTTCATTTCACTGGTGCTTGCTCACTGTGACGTACTTAATTTGTTCTCCACTTTTCTTTTTTGTGAGACTCCAAAGATTCATCAACATCATTTTTGTAGAAATGAACAAAATATCCGCTCATTAAATTGTGTTTGTAAATTGTAAATGTGCAAATTATAATGATCCACTAAAAGCAGGTACAGCAGGGCCCTCCCTTTCTTGGTTAAATAAAGTTTTGCCATGTTCCATTACCATAGCGTCACACAGAATACACTGACACTTGTGGTTTCATTTTACTTTGATTGCCCCATGGAAAATTCACAATAGACCAGGTCAAACATCTGCATTTTCACAGCTTAAAACCAAATTCTATCTGCCACGGTAATGTACACCAGGTACAATTTCAGGGTTATTTGAACATTTATGCAGTTGCAGTGCCTTAATATTTAACAGTTACAGAATTTCTCCAATAGCTTTTCAAACTAAATGGAGCCCGGATACCAAACGGGGCCGAGTTGGAGATGGTCCCTATAAACCTGTGATGGACCAAGGTATAAGATAACAGGAAGAAAAAAAAAGTGAAATAAGGGTAGCAAAAAACATCCTGAGGAGAGGACCTGGCTCCCGGTTTACTAAGCATGACAAGGAATGAGCGAAACTGCATCAAATATGAACAAAGAAATCTCCAGCAGCTTAAAGGGATAGTTCGGGATTTTTTACATGAATCTGTATGTCATCCCCGTGAGCAGTGTCGTGCATCCACACTGACTTACCCCCGACAGCGTCCAGTGAGTCGAGATACTGGCCGTTTTCGGTGCTGATGAAAGTAGTCCGGCAAGTTGGCTGGGGACAGTATAATAAAGCGTTTTTCTTCTCAAAAGAGTGATACATTTGCATCACAAAACCATCGTCGCCTAAAAAATCAGACCTCATAATCACTTGGCACTATTTTCTTTCCGTTCATATCACTGCGCGCTGCTGCCAGGTGACAGCCGCGCACGAATCCATCACTTTGTTCAGTTGTGTGTCAGTGTTTACATGCGCAGACCACCGCAACATGAGAGATCTAACATGAGAGCTAGAGACATAAGTATATAAGCTTGTATAAGATACATAAGAATATATCTAAAAAAATGGTGCGAACTCTTGATTATCCAGGCTGTAACAACAAAAATCTGGCTGAATCTCCACACACGTTTCACTGTTTTCCTGTCACAGACTTTGTGCTGGGAAAACTTTGGCTTCTTGTCTTTGGCTTCAACGTGGAAACCAAACCAGGTAAGAAGGAATGTTTATGTTTACAAGAGGACAGGCTCAAGAATCAGCTGTAACACTGTGTGCAGTAAATCACTCAGTGTCATATCACCAGTGAAGCTTCTACTAACTTTATAAGTCGACTGTTATTACTATTGTAAATGTCTCTTACACTGTTGGCAGCAGCTACGTGGACGTGTGGATGATTCCATGTTTCTATTAGTCGTCCATGCTTCATTCACAGTGTACGTAGGCTCTATGTTCACTGTATACGAGTTTATAAATGACGTGATGGTGATTGTCGCTCACTCGGTCTCTCACAGCTCCAGCTTCAACTTGCACCACTTCTCTGTCTCTCTTCTCTCTTTCTCTGCTCGTTCTAACTCCATCTGGCGAATTTCGGCATCAGTATATTTGGGTTCATAAAGATCTCCCCTTGGTTTTGTGGTAAAGGCAAAGTCTTTATTGTCGGTGTCGTAATCAAACATGTTGTCGCTAACATTCTGAGCAGTAAACAAAGTGAACCAGGCACAGCTGTCACCTGGCGGCAGCGCGCAGTGATACGAACGGAAAGAAAATAGTGCCAAGCGATAATGAGGTCTGACTTTTTAGGCGACGATGGTTTTGTGATGCAAATGTATCACTCTTTTGAACACAGATTGTTTTGAGAAGAAAAACACTTTATTATACTGTCCCCAGCCAACTTGCCGGACTACTTTCGTCAGCACCGAAAACGGCCAGTATCTCGACTCACCGGACACTGTCGGGGTTAAGTCAGTGTGGATGCACAACACTGCTCACGTGGATGACATACAGATTTATGTAAAAAATCACGAACTATCCCTTTAAGCAGAAGTGTGTCAGCTGGAACATAGTAGTGTAGTAGTAGTAGTAGTAGTAGTAGTAATAGTAGTAGCAGCAGCAGCAGTAGTAGTTTTAGTTGTGGTAGTAATAAACCAGGTCAAACATCAGCATTTTGACACTTTAAAGCCACATTCTGACCTGCTCTCCACCGTAAACTTTACTATATTTATACTATATTTATTTCTCCCGGTGATCACACCTCAGACCCTCCTCGAGCTTCCACAGATGTACCTGTGTCTCACCCTGGCTCTCCTCTTCTCCTCAGGGCTCTGGCGGACATCCTGAGGCAGCAGGGGCCCATCCCCATCTCCCAGTACGACTGTGAGAACTTCGCGGCTATGAACGGCTCCCCCAAAGACAACACCCCTGTCCGAACGTCCTCCAAGAACCACTACACCCCTGTACACAGCAAGTCCAACCACGGTAAGAACGCACACAAGGAGCAACACTGCATGGAAATATGACCAAGGACATTAGGACAACTCCAGCAGTTTTAGCAGGAGTGGTCTCGTCTGGTGTGGTAGTAGTACTGGTAGTAGTAGTTGTAGTTGTTGGGATGCACCGATACTGGCCCTGATCGACCCTGATCCAGGAAAATGAACTGGATCAGGTCTGGTACTGGTTCAGTCGAAATCCTGGTTGGGCTTTGAGTGGATGTAATAAGACTATTTACTAGAGGTGTAAGAGTACACAAACATCCCTGTTCAGTATGTACCTCGGTTTTGAGGTCACGGTTCAGATCATTTTTGGTACAGTATGAGAACAAAATGCAAAACCATTGGTTTGTTGTTTATTTGTGTAAAGCACAGCACTATCAGTTCCAGCATGAAATTTGACTTGTCTTTGTCTTGATATTTTTGGACAAAAAAAACAAACTTGTCCACATTGTCTGCAGTAAGTGCAGATCTGCTGGTCATGATGACAGTAGTTTTGCAGGATTCACATGGTTCAGAGGGACGTAGTCAAGGTCGGGGGCAGTTGTTGTCAAGGCGGCCGCCCTAACTATAAAGCGCTGCCCCAATCAGATGAGTTCCTCATGAATGTTAAAGAGCCGAGCCTCGTGCACAGCTCTGCACCGAACTGAACGTCCCGCACAAATACATGTACGGTTACACCTCTAATATTTAGTGACAAATGCAGTTTGAAATTGTATTAATGCAAAACTGTTCAGCAGCTACTTGCAGGATAAAACACCACTGGATAAAAACTGTAGTAAGTTAACTGAGTTTTGATGGATATAAAATGCCTTTTTCAGTTGCTGCACTACTATTGCGCTAGTAATAAAAAGTCTAACCATCAATATCTTCATTAAAAAGCTGTATGGGTGCATCCCTAAAGTATATGGACAGTGAAATTACAACAAAAGAGATTTTAATGTTATAATGCTGTTCACTCATCCTAAACACTTCAACTGATCCATGCATGTTTGAATAATCCAGTATTGTCCTGCATTTGAGGGCTCAGAAAACTGCAATTTTCACCTACCCCCATCACCACTCAAACTACTACATGTCCATGGACTATGATGGAACATACCTGGACCACACACAGGAGGATCACACATATATAACACACATGAATAGAACAGAAAGTACTAGCACATTCTATTGTCTAAAGAATGAGAGGTTTTTTATTATCATCGTGGTTTCTAAATCAGTATTGAGTATCGAGTTCATCCCTGTTGGGAAGGTTACTTTTAAAATGTATTCCACTACAGATTACAGATTACATATCCCAAAATGTAGTTTTTAACGTAATCCATAAAATTACTTAAAGCGAGTAACATAATATGAATACTTCAGATTACTTGGTTTGCTGTAGAGAAGCAAAGACGAGGATATCTTCACATAAAATGTTTTCTCTGCTAAAAGACAATAAAAAGCCCAGACTTTACTTAACCGTATTAAAAATATTATTGATAGAAGAAGAGGAAACACAGTCTGCACAGCATGATTTAGTCCTGTTAAATCCTGTTTGAAGACATAGTTTAGACCTGGTTTTAGTCCTGGTTTAGATCTGGTTTAGACCTGGTTTTAGACCTGGTTTGGACCTGGTTTAGACCTGGTTTAGACCTGGTTTAGACCTGGTTTAGACCTGGTATAGACCTGGTTTAGTGTCCGGTAATAAGTGGAATTACCGAGAAAAAAAAAAAAAAAAGGGATAAAGCCCAAAATGTAGGAAAATACCGCCATGTAATCCAGTTATTTCAACCAAGTAACTGTAATCTAATTACCACTCACTTAAATAGTAACTGTAACCGAATACAGTTACTCATAATTTGTACTCTGATTACGTAACTCTGGTACATGTAATTTGTTACTCCCCAACACTGTTCCTGTTAGTATCAAACTGGAGTTGGAGGAAATAGTGCTGGTGGATATAACACCACCAAGAGTCAAACAGCTTCCCTCCTTTTGCAGGAATCCAAATCACAACCTTCATAGGGCTTCATGAAATATTTGCGGCCACATTTAGCAGTAGAGTGTGAAAGGCGCAGTATTTGTGTAGCTCGCCTCGGCGCTGCCTCCTGTCTGTGTGTGGCGTGTATGACAGCCCCCACTGTGCCCAGGCTTTCAGCACAGTAATCTCCAATGTTAACATCCAGTAATCATCCCATTTGAGCAAGCGAGCGCCATCACCACGGCGACGGGGAAAACCAGGCCTGCCAGTGTTCATAATTATAGAGCACCCATCTTCTGACAGGCCCGGCACCCTCCGACCAGACACGTCACCCCAGCACCCATCTCACGGCAGGGCAGGGGACCCAGGGGGCGGAGCAATGTGTCACCCACACAACAGATACTAAGAGACATGTTGTTGGATGTTACAAATGTTCCTCAGTATTGCATTAAACTTATCTACAGGAGCTCCGTAAAAGAAAGTATAAATGTCAGATCTGTGGAGAGGCGAGCCTGCTCACAGCATGTTTTGCATCATATTTTAGCTTTTTTAAAAAAAATGTAACTGAATAAATGCAACACATAGTTTAAAGACTTAAAGACAACTCATTCCACTGAAACATGCCACAAGATTTCAGGGTTATTTTTGTTTTGTTTTTTTAGGTGAAATGTTTCTAATTTTACCTCCTGGTTGGACATGAGCTGCAAATGTATGGAATCAATTTTGAGTCATACAATTCAAAAAACACTTTAAAAAGCAAAAAAAAAAAAAATCATAGATCAAAATACCAAATTTAAAAAATGATTCCAGTCTTCTCGTTTGTGCTCTCTGATATTTTGGTTGCAGTTTTGACATGTTTGGGTGGGCGGGATTTCCATGGGTGCATTCCAATTGGCTCATTTCTGTTTGATGGACAGCTGAGCTTGGAGCTCCTGAAGCTGTTGTGGATGTTTCCTGTTGAAGTTTTGATGCTCAGAGCTTTTCTAATATTCAGTGTTCTGTGGTGGACGATTCTTCTAGAACAACGAGCTCCAAGCTCAGTTGTCCGTCAAACATAAATGAGCCAATGGGAATGCACCCATGGAAATCCCGCCCACTTGTCACGTTTGTGTCAAAACTGTAACCAAAAAGTCAAACGAGAAGGAGAATCAGAACCAGAGAAAACGACATCAAACAAAACTGAGAAAGACGCAGAACTAAAAATAAATGTTTCAAAAGAGGCAAAGACACATATTTTACACGACTATGCATTTCGATTTATTTAACTTTTTTTGTTCGATTTTTTAAATTTGGTATTTTGATTTATACTTTTTTGCTTGATATTTTAAAAGCGTTCTGTGAACTGTTTGATTCAAAATTTATTCCATACAAATATAACTAGCAACTATATTATTAACAAAGGAATACAAAAAAAAAAGTTATGGTTAGTTAATTCATAAAATAAGACAAAATTATTGTACTGTTGTTCTCCATTTTATTTTATTATTATTTTTATTGTATTATTATTATTATTATTATTATTATTATTATTCTTTTCTTTTTTTTTCACAAATTGCCAATTAACTGATGTAAAGCTCATACATATTGACCACAGGATCTCTCCATCACACCAGGTGAGAATTAGAAACACATACAATAAGCACATCTGCACTCTAATGCTGTACTGTGGAAGTTTGTCCCTCAGACTGCACCTGGTGCAGTTGTGAGTCCTGCAGAGCTCTGCTGGGTGTTTGGGGTCAGTGCCTCTGAAGCTGCACGCACCAGACCATAAGTGACCATTTATGAAGGGCTAAGCACAGCACTGTCACACTGCACTGTCCTCTGAGCTCCTCTTTCTCTGCTCCTACCTCCTCAAAAACACACCTGGACTGTGTTTTGTTTCACACATGTTTGAATAATCCTTTATTATTAGTTTGTCTACATGTCCACAGCTCAAAATGCTCCACCTTGTGATGTCATGAATAAGGCTGAGTATCATTAAGAATGTGCAGATACATACGATACATACCTCAATATACTGGCCACGATATGATACTTATCTCAATACAGTGAGCTTTCAAATCATGGCTGTGATACAAAAAGTCTGTGTTAAACCACTTCATGTGCAAAATGATCAAATGCATCTTTTCAAACACAAACATTTAAATCCTCAAAAGAGTGAAAATGTCATATGTGTCGCATAAATGAGTTTCCTTCCACTCAACAAGCAACAAAACTGTAGCTGTAAAAAAAATATTTCATAAAATATACTAAAAAAGTACAGTACAGTACATTAAAGGATACAATATATCAATATTTTGATATTTTTGCAGTAGTTTTCAAGTTAACAGCTACCTTTTTTGTTTATTAGAATAGAATTTGGGAATTCTGGGTCTGAAATTATCCAAATGATTCTAGTGAAGGTGTGTGGAGTTTAAAAACAAAGTGGAGCACTTTATGACATCGCAAGGGAGAACAGAGTGTTCTCTGTTTGAGAGAAAAACTCAGCCTAAATATGCAGAGGTTGTGTGTTAAACGTGTAAATGAGTCTGAGTGTGTTTGTGAAGAGGAAATATGATTATGTTTAGGCCCTGTAAGATGTGGAGATGGTCCGTGGGCGTGGCACTGCAGTACTCACGGTTCCTGACAGGTTGCCCTAAACACAAATGTCCCTACAGGGATCAATAAAGAGTATATTTACAACTGAAACAATGACATCACTCTCAGCCTTTTCAAAGGAACATCTCAGCTGGAGCAGATCCATCTTGTGGAAAATGATGGTTTAGCAGATCCATGAGAGCTGTGCCGAAAACACAAGGAGAATATAAAGGGAATGGAGAGGAAGAAAATATGAAAATAATAACTAGGCTTTGAGAAGTTGCTGCCGGTGCAATATTAAATATTATGGTGCAAGATGGACCACAGCGGTACAGTTTCAGAGAGATTTCCGTTGGATAATTGGGGAAAAACAGGACGAGCAGAATATCATCTTCCTTTGTCCTTCCAAGACAATCACTGATAACTCTCCTGCTCCTTTAGAGTTT